CTCTCTCCTCTCCATATAAGAATCAGAGAAAATATTATACTACTTAAATTACATCATGTAAAACTAAGTATGTATTCACTTACACACAGCTATTTATATATTAGTAAGCTTGTGCAAGTATGTAAATGTATGAGTATTATATTAAAGCATATTACAGCACAGATTTACACTGAATACGTATCATTTAAACATGTAACCACACCTTGTAACACAGAAATAATTGATTAGAGTGATTTTTTAACTGTATAAAAAGCGGAACAAAACGTATTGTTTCCATAACATTTTGGCCGTAATGACAGAGCGTGAAACGTACATATTCCCTCGGCAGGAGGTACATGGTCCTCTCGATGTTCTTGACGGAGACGCAGCAGCTGACGTGAGACTCAGCAGACTCAATCCACACTTTTCCAAACAGGTACACCACACCTGGGCCACAGAGGAGGAGGTACAATGTCAGGCAGTGCTCCAAAACTGTGAGTAAGATCTCTGGATTTACATCATAAAGGTAACGTAAGGTATTTATATCGCACATTGTCAGACACAGAGGCAATTCAAAGTGCTTCACATCATCATTAACACTTAATAATAAGACAACAGAACACAGTAAATAAACATAATGGAATATCAGATTCATGAAACCATGCATAAAAGAGATAGCTTAAAAACAACAATGTAGATACGGTAAGTGGTAAAACAAGTTAAAAGGCTTCTGGGGAAGCAGATGGAAAAAGTAGTGTCAGTGTCAGTATGCTTTACCTGGTTGGTTGTAGGCGTCGTCGAAGGCGTCCAACCAATAGAAGCGGAAAACCTGCTCCCCGTCCGCTCCCTCCACCAACGGGAGTTTGCTGGAGTCGACCTGCACCTCCACTTGAGCCTCGCTGACCCCTCCTTCCTCCTCCTGACCCCACGAGCTGCCCGCCCTGCTGGACCTGGAGGAGGAGAAGAAGAAAAATGTGTTAGGTCTTAACAGGTTAGCCCGGTGTGTTTTTAAAAAGGGTTAGGGTTAGGTACAGTACAAACAACAAACCCCCACCCACAACAGCGAGGGTGATGCAAACAATAGCACACAAAAAAAAGAACATACATAAAAAAACAAGAAAGAAATGGTCACTAGTGCAAAGTAATAGCATCAGTAACAACTGTAATATATACATACCGTTAGCCGGTAATTACCGTTTTTTAGCTGGTAACATTTATTAAAAACCGGTAAATTCAAAACCTGCCGGTCAAAATGTCCGGTAATAATTAGGGATGCTCCGACCGATTGGCCGACGATCATTATCGGCCGATATTCACTCTTAATAGTTTGAGAGTTTTCATCTACTACAAGCAGTTTGTTTGAATGTAATAATTATGTTGTTTGTGGAAGCGCATCATTTATTGAAAAATGAATCTGAACTTTTCGATCTGTTACGATTATAAACTGAAGCAATGTAAAAATGAGCCCCATTAACTGAGTTTAAACATCAGCATATCCGCTCATAGTCCGGTAATTACCTGCTAACGGAAACTCTGCTACACAATTCTTATTATTATTATTATTGAAACATGACCGGTAAGTTTCAAATTTGTCCGGTAAAATAAATTATTTCCGGACATTTGACCGGCAAGAAAAAATCCTAACGGAAACCCTGATACATATATATATATATATATATACATTAAAAAAATGTGTCACAAGACTAAATAAGAGTATGAGGATTAAATCAGATCAGGGTCTAAGGATAGAGAGATAAGAGGACAAAAATAGCCGGTGTGTTTAATAAAAAATTTCAAATCAAGATTCAAAGTTGTTCTTGTCATCATATGCTCAAAGCTACAGAGTAGAAATGGCAATGACATGCTTCTGACCTGAGCTCCTCCAACAGTGCAACAGATATAATAAAATACAAAAATGTAAATTAAAATAGAGCAAGAAGTCTCTATGAAGTGCATTCTAGGATTGAAGCAGGACACGTATCTATATTTCCTGAAGCTGTAGGAAGCAAAGGAAGCAAAGCAGACTTACACTAAGACAGGATCCTGAGGCTCCACCTTCACTTCTGCTGCTTCAGACGGAGTCTCAGGATCATCTTTAATCGCAGGCTTCTCGTCCTCAAGTCCGACCTCCATGGGCTCGTCAAAGTCCACCTCATCGAACCCCAGAGCGTCGTCCACTGAGAAACACATCGTCACAAAGAGGTGAGTGTATGCTTGTTGCTAGGATCAAGAACATGCAAAAAGCTAGTTGCATATAGAGCTGCAGAGATAAGTGGACAGCTATCTTAATTAGTGATGTTACGTTCACGAATGATACGATTCTTTTGAACGGCTCTTTTGTACGAACGAAGGGAACCGAGTCGTACTTGGTGAGAGCCGTTCTTTTTATCGTTGGTTCACTGCCTGCCATAAATCCACTCGCCTTTACGTGAACAGTGAAAAAGCTTGATTTTGTTCCCCAAGCGTATTCCGTGAAGACCCGGCCCTACTCTGATTGGTTAGGTTTAGGCAGGAGTGTCTCTGATTGGTTAGGTTTGGGCAGGAGTGTCTGTGATTGGTTAGGTTTGGGCAGGAGTGTCTCTGATTGGTTAGGTTTGGGCAGGAGTGTCTCTGATTGGTTAGGTTTGGGCAGGAGTGTCTGTGATTGGTTAGGTTTGGGCAGGAGTGTCTCTGATTGGTTAGGTTTGGGCAGGAGTGTCTCTGATTGGTTAGGTTTGGGCAGGAGTGTCTCTGATTGGTTAGGTTTAGGCAGGAGTGTCTCCGATTGGTTAGGTTTGGGCACGAGGAGTGAGAAGTTGTGGGTTAGGGTTAGCCAATCAGATGCAGAGTAGGCGTGGGTCTAGGGCTGCACGATATACGTTTTTTTTTTGCGTGCGTTATTAAGTAGGCAAATTAACTCAAACACGTCATGTTACAATTATTTTGCTGCTTGCTACAAAAGGAAAACTTGCGCGGCTCTCATGTCAGGGGTACTTGAGTGAGTGACATGCACCAATCACAACCATTCTTGATCAGATCACAGCAGGATAACCGAGCTAGCTCAGATTGTCGCTCTGATAACTTAAGATCCAGACGTCCGTGACTAAAATCCTTCATCCGGTTAAATATAAAAAAATACCAATTGTATAGCATTAGAGTTCAAGAAAGGATGGTTTGCAGACAAAGAAAACGGTCATTTCTTCAATTCCTGTATTTTTTCATATCGCAATATATATCGCAGAGGAAGAAAATATCGCAATGTCCGTTTTTTTCAATATCGTGCAGCCCTACGTGGGTCTTAACGGAATACGCATGATAGAGAGAAGTCATAGCAAGTGGTACAGGTAGACGTGTTTTTTCGGGTGAAAAACGCAGCAGCATTTGGATGCACTTCATCAAAAACATAGGCAATGAGTGCAACATTTGTAAAGCCAAAATATTATTTAAAGCAGGGTCAACAAATTATATCCACCGCCACTTAAAAAGAAAACGGCTCTCGGAAAGGAACGGAGCCATGAGAACCGGCTCCCTTCAAAGAGCCGTCATTCCCATCACTAATTTTCATCAACAAATGGAATGAAAATGCTGTTTTCCGACCTCCCAAATATGAAGATTTCCTGATTTTCTATTATATAATCACAATAAAGTGAAATGCTTTAGGTGTTGGACTTACAAGACATTTAAAGACATCATCTTGTTAAAGGAATGGAATAATGTTTTCGATGTATCCATATTAAAAGGCAGCCCTAGTTTTCTTTGTCTGTCTCACCTTGCTCTTCCTCCATCTTCTCCACTTCCGCCCCCTGCTTCTTCACCGGAGGAGCTGATGAAGAGGAGGGGAGGCGGGATGAAGGTCTGGGGGTCGGGTTAGAGGGCGGCGGTCTGATGATAACCTTCGCCTTCTGCCTGCTAGCTGACGGTGACTCCTGGTGCAGAAGAGACATATAGGTGAGAAGAAGTGAATCCTAACAATGTAATGTGGCTCGTGATGTACTTTACAGACACTTCATATGGAAGCTCACAGGATACCTTTTGCTTGATGGAAAAGGGGTTCATGGAGGATCCCAGGGACTTCTTCTTCTTCAGAGTGATCCCTGGAGGAGGAGTGAGAAGAGACGGTTTCTGGGAAGACAGAGGGAGAGAGAGAAATAAAGAAATCCAGTGAAAACAATGCACAGTGGCTCAAAAACTAAAGTCATTAGTTGCCGTTTAATTGTGTTGACATTCAGCCATGTCTAGACCAAACAGGAAAAGTTGACGTTCAGTGTGTTGCCGGAGCATATAAGGATTTATCCACGATGTTGAAAATGTTACAAATGTTTTAAAAAGTTATTGTTTAATGTTTTAAGGAGGTAGATACACACACACACACACACAGTCTCACACAGTCTCTCACACACACACACACACAGTCTCACACAGTCTCTCACACACACACACACACAGTCTCACACAGTCTCTCACACACACAGTCTCACACACACACACAGTCTCACACAGTCTCTCACACACACAGTCTCACACAGACACACAGTCTCACACAGTCTCTCACACACACAGTCTCTCACAGACACACAGTCTCACACAGTCTCTCACACACACAGTCTCACACAGACACACAGTCTCACACAGTCTCTCACACACACAGTCTCACACAGACACACAGTCTCACACAGTCTCTCACACACACACAGTGTCACACACAGTGTCTCACACACAGTCACACACACACACACACACACACACACACACACACACACAAACACACACACAACACAACACAACACACACCACACACACCACACACACACACACACACACACACACACACACACACACACACACACACACACACACACACACACACACCACACACACACACACACACACACACACACACACACACACACACACACACACCACACACACCCACACACACACACACACACACATCCACACCACACACACACACACACACACACACCACACACACACCACACACACACACACACCACACACACACACCCACACACACACACACACACACACCCCCCCTGGTCTAGACAATTATGGTACCAACCTCAGAGTGCAGGTCCTGTAAGATGTCTCCCAATAGATCATCTTTGGACAGATCCACCTCTTTCTGCAGGAGAGACAATCATCAAATGGTCGATTCAAAGACAGGACACACGTTTATTTTCAGTAAAGATCCAGACATAGCAAACTCAGGGACATTTTTCAAAGAAGCAGGTATTTGGTGTCAGAAGCAACTCACCTCAGCCGGTCTCTTCACATTGCTGTTCATGAAGAGGCTCTTGATGGTGTTGGACTTGGCAACGACAGATTTCTTCATATTTTTCTTTGAGGCTGCTCCTTTGGAACCGGCCTTTCCTGCAAACAAAGCATTTTCACACAAACATCACTACTTGTACGAAGCTATGTACTGCACACTGCCCCTCTCTCACAGTACACACACTTTTTTTTTTTAATTCTAACCTTTTATGCACTTAACCTTTTTTCACATTAACATATTTTATTCAATATGCTCCTTAGATAACTTTATATTTTACTTTCTCCTCATAGCATTGTGAAGCACCTTGAGATGACGTTGTTTTTAACCTGTTAAGCCCTGAGCCTGTTTTTCAGGCCTCAGGCTCAGGGACGTTCCACACACACACACATGTTACCATTGAGAGCTAGCGCACGCAGTCGAACGCAATGTTATGCTCTGAAAACTGAAACCTAGGCTCAAACTAGTAAATATGAAGATGGATTATCAGTAATCATTTCAAAGTGACACAGAGACATTGGATTAACCATTGGATTAACCTTCAGCAGCGTTGTTATCATTGTAATGCCATTGAACACAACTTTTGATCAGAACAACAGCTAAGGTAAGAAGCTTCCTCTGTGAAGCTACGTGTTGTGATGTCTGTTTTCGCTTCCCCTGTCGCGAGTTTGGATCGCTCAGTGATGATCCTAATATTTCTGGAATCTGTGGAATCTCAGCTTGTTAATCGATATCTTGTTTTTGCAGATACGATAAGTAATAAGGGTATTTAAGCTGTGAGTTCTGTGCTAAGTGCGATAGCATTTTTTCCGCTCAGGGCTCATTTAGACGCTTCTTGTGAGACTTGTGTTTTGTTTCGGTAAAAATGGTTCGTATCGTCAGTTAGCTGAGTTTCTTCCCGTTAAGTGAGTATGGAACATTAATAGTTTCATAAATGTTGAGAAGCCCCGAGACACAGTTTCGAAAAAAAGGTTAAAGTGTGCTATATAAATGATATGTATTATTACCTTTGTTGTTTTCTACTATATCATCGTCCAAATCATCGTCGAAGATTTCTCTCCCGTCCTCCACGTATCCCGTCCCATCTGAAGAGAAACTCTCGCATTAGAACTCCAAAACAACTCAGTTAAAAACATGTAGTTTTGACATATATCAAGACATATTCTGACGGTGTAAACAAGCGAAGGAGACTCACCGTCATCAATAATCCAGTCGTCCTCTTGTCGTCCTCGTACCATCTCAGAGTACTGCTGCTCGTCCATCTCTTCGTACACACTGGAAAACTTTTCCACCTGGAAAACATGAAGACTTGTTAACTCTAAAGTATGAAACTAGCATGGTTGAATAGATATCAGTAACATTTCAAAATGCACCTTTAAAATGCTTGATAACAGCAGAGAATCTAAAACGATCTGCATTCTTACAATATTAAAGTTTTACATAAAATGCATTACAATTAAAACTGTTTTCTGTCAAAGATAACTCTGCCTCACGTGTTGAAAGACAGTGTCAATTGTGTAACCATATAATTGTATTTTTATATTACCTTACTGTTTAATACATTTTAATAACCCAACAGCTAATTTTGTGATGGACATATCCTTGTCTGTACAACACATGTTTTGCTGTAATGTATATGTATTTGCACGTACATATTATGAGAGGATTATGACTTATATGTGCCCACATTCTTGGCCAATAAAGTTGATTCTGATCATGTAAAGTCACATTAATAAAGAAAACATGCACCTGTAAATGAAAACTATTAAACACAGATGTTTACTATTAAGTGCCTCACCTCATATTTGATCTTCTCGCCTCTCTTGGCTTTCTTCAGTTGCTCCAGAGCAGATTTCCTGCCCGTCTTCTCCTTCTTCTCTCGTCTGGAGCGAGACATGGCCAGCCCTCCAGCTTCTGAGACACACACACACAGAGGTGGATAAAGTACTCAGGTCTGGTACTTGAGTAAAAGTAGAAGTACTCAGATCTTGTACTTGAGTAAAAATAGAAGTACTCAGATCTTGTACTTGAGTAAAAGTAGAAGTACTCAGATCTTGTACTTGAGTAAAAGTAGAAGTACTCAGGTCTTGTGCTTGAGTAAAAGTAGAAGTACTCACAACTTGTACTTGAGTAAAAGTAGAAGTACTCAGATCTTGTACTTGAGTAAAAGTAGAAGTACCAGAGTGTAGGAATACTCTGTTACAGTAAAAGTCCTGCATTCAAAATGTTCCTCAAGTAAAAGTAGAAAAGTATTATCATCAAAATATAGTTAAAGTAGCGACAGTAAAAGTAGTCATTGTGCAGATTGGTCCATTTCAGAATAATATATATGATATGTTTTATAATGATTGATCATGAAAGTGTTCTCAAAGCTGGAAAAGGTGCAGCTAGTCTGAATGACTTTGTATACTGCAGGGTAGCTTGTGAATTTACTCCAGGTGGAACTAAAGTCTGATTTAACACTTGATTAGATTTCACATCATTCATCCAGATCTGTGAAGTAACTAAAGGTATTACATAACTGTAGTGGAGTAGAAGTACAAAGTAGAAAAACATTACATACTCAAGTAAAGCCTGAGTACCTCAACTTAAGTGCAGTAAATCTACTTACTTTACACCACTACACACAGACATGACGACCAGGAGCCCGGTTTGAACACACAGGTTGCAGACATTTAACTCAACAAATACTCCAATAAAGTCACATTTTGCTTTTGCATCTGCTTAATAAAGACAAATAAATGTAGGCATTTTGATAACGCTATTTCATTATTGCTGTAATGGATTCAAAGAGTGCTTAATGTTACACACAGCGCCAGAAAATGACAGATGGCTAACTTAAATACAATATCTACCTTACTCTATGACCGCTTTTAAACCTTAGTAACACAATAGTCATGTAGCAAATTGTGGCCTAGTTTAATACACATTCATGCACTCATTAAAACACACACATTGTGAACGGCCTTAGCATGTCCCTTGTTATGGATTGACAAAAGTAAGCTAATGTTAGCTAACTCTCCCTGTGTATTTTAGCTAAATTAAGCTAGTATTCAACTCGATAACAATAACTCACCAGCATCGGGAGCATCAGGAGCATCCATATCTTTCTCTGGGTTAGAAACCGGAGCCATAACTTTAATAAATCTTTAATAACTTTGACGTTTTGCTCACTGACTGGCAGGTCAACACAACAACAGCACACACCGCGCGCCAAATCTGCTTCCCGGGGAAAGTCATACGCAGGACGTGACATCACGAAGCTGTAAGCCAATTAAAAGAAGCACTGCAGTCTCCACTCTGACCGCAGGGGGGCAGTGTTGCTCCATCGTGTTGTTTAATGCACAGGATTCAAAAGGTATGTAAACTGTTAAATATTATACATATTTTATGAATTCATTCAATAAAATAGATAAATACATTTTTTAGTATTTAAATGAATGTTTATTTTTTATTTATTTATGTGTATTTATTATTATTTCTACATTCCTTTCTTCTTTTTATTTCATATATGATTTTATTGTTTCCTACACAGACATCCAATGAGGCAGATTGTATCAATGCATTTCCAGATACAAAATACACACAATATTTAATAAATAAATAAGGATTTAAAAATCAAATGAAATATTTGTTATCTAATAGAAGAATACTGTACATATACACTTTATATAAATATAAACATACATACATATATACTAACATGTCATTTGGACATATAAAACAATGATTTTGTCCCTGGACATGTAAATTATGCATATATAACAATAATACAAACATAATAATGACACATAACATGTATAAAAACACCTGTAGGACACACCCGTTTGTATAGCCTCACCATCCTTGGAGTTACCTTTAACTAAAAACTAATCAATCTTATATGTACCAAACTTGTTTACAGACATGTAATCCACTGAGGTGGTGTCAGCACTTGCTTTTCCTCTAATTTGGCTTTTTCACATGTAGGGTAAGATAACAAAAACATTGTTTCCATCAGAATAAGTCTTGTCTAAGGTGCCTTTGGTGACGCCATGCTGTTTTCAATTTCCAGGCAATAACACCACCAACTTTTCTTTTTTAAGTCAGTGCCTGTGATGAAGCTCGTTTCCATGGACACCGGTTGGCACAATGGGCTCCTGTCCCAGATTGGGGCCACAGAGACATACAGTGAGGCCAACAAAGCAAACACAAAGCGGGTTTTGTCCTGCGTCCTTGCAGCCTGATTTGGCTTTTGTGCCATAAATAACTGCGGTAATTCATATGTGAGTGAAGACCTGTACAGTAAAGAGGGGTTCTCTGTCATTTCGGTGACTTTTGAAGTTGTTTGTGCGTTTTTTTTAGGTTTTAACTTTTATTTTGAAACACATTGTTCACTTTTTTTTGTATTGACGCTACAAGTTGCACATGCATGAATGGGGTCCTGCACTGTAGTACAATAGAGAGGGCTGTAGGTCTGCTAAATGGACCGTGGAACAAATTGTCGAAGCTCATCAGCGCTGAGCAGCTGATCTGTCTCTGGACACAGTGGACAGTGGACAGACAGACAGACAGTCAGTCAGACAGACAGACAGACAGGCAGTAAGCTGCTGCTGCTGCTGCTGCTGCCTCGGACTGAACAGAAACCAGTCAGAGAAGCGAGTTAACACTTTACTTACTTTACATATTGTTCGGTTTTTTGGATTACGATGGTGAAACAGCGACGCATCAGAGCGCATTCCTGTTGCGCGTCTGTTTGTTGCAGGAGAGGAACACACACGGTAAGCATGCAACTTTCACTACATTATTCTAGTCTAGTCGGTTACTGAAAGTTTGCCAAAAAGCTGGGGACAACAGAAAATAAGTAGCCTTGTTTAGCATATTAACAATCCTATTGAATGTGCAAAATACACACTCGGATGCATCAGACTCTCGCAAATGAGTGTGATTGTAGACGATATAACGATAGAAACTATACAAGAGACATCGAACAATACTAAACCATAAATAAATGTTATATAAAGCTGAATCTTGTTTCCAATATCAAGATATTTTGGTATTTGTTTACAAAACCTCCTAAAAGCAGAATCTAAACTATGCATGACTCTCAAATACTCTCCATTCTCCTCTCGGACTAATTGCATGCCCGGCCAGTGAATAATTCTCAGTATCATCTCACTGATGGTGCTATGATCCTCTCCACCAATCCTCTCCTATCTCACTGCCTCTCTGTTGTATCTCTCCTCTGATTGGTCCTTTTCCTGGAGCTCTCTCCTCTTTTCGGTCGCCATGGAGAGAGCTCATCAGCTCTGTGCACAAAGATCGTGTATTCAACACAATGAATCACTCACAGACACAGGAACAATATAAGATGTATTCCTCTAATGTATATTTACTAGCCAATTTAGCAATCTTCAATAGCCGGGTCGTTCCTAGCATTCGGTGCCATTTAGGTCCCCACCACATTATATCATATATTTTGTATTTTAAAGGTCTAATGCTTATTTTTTTAAAGCTTGGTTTTAAATGTTTATACCCTCTACCATAAAACAACAATGTTATTTAGCCAGGATATTCAAAATTCTAAATAATTACTCTGATTTGAGCACAAGTAGGCCAAATTGCTGTGTCCCCAATTATGTTTGCTCAACTTCTGTAACAGATATACAAAAAGAAATCAAAGAAATACAAACAAATTCTACATTTTTATCACTGTTGTATAACCCTTTTGTTAATATTCCTCACCAAATTGAAATTGTTGTTATTAATTAATTTGTGTCCTCTGTTTGAATGTCCCCCCTGTTACTCTGATTTGAATCCCTCTGGCCACGCCCCTTTACTATTCTACTATTTGTATGACTCAAGAAGAAGAAGGATACATTTTGAGTGGGAAAATCATCTTCAAGAAGCAGAGTGAATGCGTTCTTCCTTCAGCGTTTTTTAAAATGTTTTAAAGAACTTAACTGTTGCGGTAAAGCATAACATGTCCACCCTGTTATGCTCATTTTTAGTGGAACTGATAATTTGTTTTACATTTAGAAAATATGGTGAATATATCTATCAAATAAATGTTTCTGTTGTCACCAAGTGCTAGCTTGATTATCATCACACATGTAGCAATAGCCAAGTTTAGCATAAAATGTCCACCCTGTTACTATTTCTCACAGTAACTGGGTGGACAACATGGTGGACACACAGTAACTGGGGATGGTAAAAAAAAAGTTTTAAACATAATATCCTGAGCTTGACCAAAATATTTTTCTTATACTTTAACAAGCCATCATTCAGATTAAATAAAAACATGGAAAATTATGTTTTTTATTTTTGAATACCCTAGCTGAAATGGCACCGAATGCTAGGAATGACCCAGCCCTTGTTTTTTACACAGCCGTCAATGCTTTTGAACATCTGCAGCATTGAGGACAGGTGTGCAAGGAGGGGTGTGACAAAAACACAAACCTAAATCAGTGCTAAGCAGTCAATATATCAAACACCAAAAATACAAGAAAAATGCAAGAAAAGGTCAAACAAATAAGCAAACACACACACTAATACACACTGACTCGGGCAGGTAAACAAGAAGACATTATAAAGGTGTTGGTGGGCAATATCACATTCCAGATGCACTGCACATAATAGCATCTCCACTACATGTATCCCATTGTCTTTTGGCCATGTCATTTTCCATGTCATTCTTGCAGCATCTTTTCAAATGCAACACTTTCAGTCTTTTGTTTCCTCCATGTTTTTCAGGAGTTTGAGGCTCTGTGCAACATCTTTAAAGGCACAGCTTATTAAGCCAGATGTGTATACTCTAAAGGCAAACGTAATCAACTTCTACACTAGTGTCATACCCTGCGGATGCTTTAAAAGGAACATATTTGCAAGAAAACCCAGATTACGGCAGAATTCTTTATTGTTATGGTCCTGAGAATTAGCTTCAGAGTGATCCCTCCTCCCAGCTCTGTGCAGCAGGGCATCAGACAGGAGGAAGAGGAGGAGAGAGAGAGCAGGGAGTGGGCGGGGGAAGAGAGTAGGGAGAAAGAGACACAGGGGTGAAGAGGAGGAGAGAGGCAGCGTCTCTTACTGATGCTGAGTCACATTACAGAGGGACCAAAGCCGCATCCCATGAGTCTTTGGGAATCATGGAGGAGCTCGAGCACACCTGCCCTCATCCACGGACGGTAGGGCATCCGAATCCGTATTTGTACGTGTTTTTATGCAGTGTGTGTGACAGGGAGGCAAACAAAGGCTCCTGCCCCCTCCCCTGTTACGAAACAGATCCTCTCTGGAGCTGGGGGATATGCCCAGACTGCTGAGTGGACAGCAGTGTGTGTTGCCAGAGAAGGAGGGGGTTCACACAATGGACGTGGATGCTGGGGGGACATTGCAGCAGGAAGGAGAGTGTTATTCCTCATCTTGCCTCCTCATCCCTTCCCTTCCATCCTCGTCCTCACTCTGGGTGTAATCCCTCTTACACTCAAAAAAATAATTTCTTGGACTTACTTAATAAAGTTATGTCAACAAATTCCACGAAACTGAGTTGAGTAGATTATAATTAAATATTACTAGTAAGAAGAATATAACTGACTTATGTTGAGCCAACGCGACCGTGTTAATTAACTTCAACAATACCCGGTCACCCTGGATTTAATTAATAGCTCTGTGTCCAGCTAACTTAACTGAGCAATATTAAGTCAACACAGTGCAGTTCCTTTAGACATACTTGATTTTTTTGATTAATGCCAACATAAAGATATTATATAATGCTAACTTAACTCACCTATATTCATGTTACTTAAAAGTAAGAACTGCTATACTCAACTGTATTTAGTAAGATCAACTTAACTTTAATTTGTAGTTCAAACTTAAATCATTTTGGAAACTACTGCATTCCGTGTTACTTAACTGGTATTCATTGCTATAATGGAAGTCATTTTAAGTTCACTTACTAAACCAGACTATGTCAACAAATTCCACGAAGTGTAGTTAAGTAAATTCAAATTAACTGACTTAAGGTTCAGTGAAAAAAATACATTTATTTCACATGAAACGCGATATAACCACATAGGCAACCAGGTTTACCAAGTTTAAAATCATGGAAACCCATAAAGACTTCTTTGTATCACACCTTATCAACAAACAAAAGGTTGAAGTTGCACAACATTTAGCTAGCAACAAAAATGTTCAAAAGAGCACCATGTTTTAACCACATAGCCCAAACTGAAACTAAACATTGCATGTAAGTCGTCACATAAATAGAAAAGTAAACTACAAAATGTGTAAAACGTTTATAAATGTCTCTTGTCATCAACTGTTGCTATGGAGATAATGAAAACCGGAACAATAGTTTTCTAGATTATTGTTTTGGTTTTATAGCATATTTTCTGTTTGGTGTTGTCTAATTCTTAATTCTGTCTAAATCCAAAAAAATTCAGCAAGCCAGCTCTGATCGACTCTCAATTCCCTCCACGTTTATCATTAAGCAGGCGACGAAGCACCTGGCCCCCAAAGTTAGCGACCAGCTGGAGAGGAAAACTAAACATCCAGCAGCCGAGGAGCGAGATAACCTTCAACAGTATTGAGACCAAAACAGAGCTAAAGGATGAGTAAATATTGGAAACACACTTGTCAGAACAGACATTTCCAGGCTAATGTTGCTCTTAGCTGGATACGGTAGTATATTATTGACCTGGTAAATATACATAATTAGTTTGCTATCACCTTAATAGAAAAAGTTGCACAACATTTAGCTAGCAACAACAATTTTCAAAAGAGCACCATGTTTTAACCACATAGCCCAAACTGCAACTTGTACGTATAAACTGTACGACATTAATCATTTGTAACATTCCTATTCAGTAACATTCCATAGATAAAATTCCCTCCGAAATATTTGGATAAAACCCCTGCTCCAAGATATCCAACGTGCCGTTTCAAGGCGTTCCACTTGTAGTGTTCAAGTAGTTCATTCAAACAGTTTGTTTTTCAGCACTTGAGCCTTTGACGACAGGTGGCGAACATCCATTTCCATCAGGATCTTTTGAAGAACCTCAAACGTGCATCTCAGGTTTTTTGGATAGCTCAAGTCCAATGCATATGTGAGTCCAAATAAAATTGCCAGTGCGTTCGCAATGTTTTGAAGATCGTTCAGCACTTCCACACCTTCAATTACAATCCCCACATCTGCGAGGGAATCCGTTGGCTCTGCACCTTCCTTCTTTATGGCGAAGATTCCCAAGACCATCTGATCTACACTCTGGTCAGTCTCAACATCCTAAAAGGCAGAAAAAATAGACCATCAGCCAGACTTACACACACACACACACACGGGAAAAAAGCAACACTCTTGCTAAGTAACATATATAGAGCTCCCAGATAAGCATACCTACAAGCTACATTGGGTGTAGCTTTTCTAGTTGTTGACGGTATCTGCTAGGGGCTTGTGGGTATTTAGTTAACCATGGATATGAAAATGGTTTTACAAAACTTTAAAATTTGAGAAACTCAACAGTTCCATTTATGAATTATACATTCAAGCAACGGTCTACAAACTGCTGTTGATAGTTTGAAAAGGGAATTGTATTATGCATGCATATGGGTTATTTTCTGATTGCTCTTTCAAACCTGTGGTGCCATTAGTTTGTTTAAAACCAGCTCAAAAAAGTACGAAATAAATCACTTTTTTTGTTTCCAGAGGGTAATAATGTGGAAAGCAGAGGCACAAATACTTACGAGGTACTCTCTAATCAGGCTTTCGGGGTCTTCATTAAGGTACACA